TGAGTCCTTTACCTTCAGTCATGTCAATCTCCTCCTCACCAACTCTCTTCCACTCAAAGCATTGGATCAATGTCCCCAAGGTCAAGCCCATCACACGTTGGGCCAGGCCTGCTCCAGGGCAAGCCCTCCTTCCCAATCCAAATGGCATGAGTTTGTGTGACAGATCCTCACCACTTTTGAACCTCTCAGGCTTGAACATTTCAGGATCATCCCACAATTGTGGATCTCTATGTATGGCCCATGCATTCACCAATAACATTGTGCCACGTGGAACGTCGAATCCCTCAATAGTGCAGTCATCAGATGCAAAATGTGGTACTAGCATCGGGGCGGCTGGGCACAACCGCAGCGTCTCTGATATAATGCTTTGAAGGTAGGGTAGTTTAGAGATATTTTGTTCATCAACTAAGTGTTCTTGGTCAAGTTGAGCATCCAATTCAGCTCTAGCCTTTCTTAGCACATGTGGATTGTTAAGTAGATGAGACAGGGCCCATTCCAGTGTGACTGATGATGTCTCAGTGCCACCCAATAACAGCACCTAAAAATTACTTTTTTATTATTAGTAAAGTTCACAAGAAAAAGAGCATGAAATACGTACTTTTATTATCTTCCTAAAAATGCTCTTCCAGCTTTTTTCTTTTAACATGTTTATCGGCTGTGTCAGCCCCTTTTTTTTTTTTTGTTGCTTCCTTATCTAATTTGAATGTTTATTTTGTAATTCTTGTGAAAATTACAAGAGAAAGTTAGCCAATGAAATGCAGAACAACGTTTTCTTATCACTGTTGTTGTTCTTAAATATATAATTAACTAAGTGCCTAGGTCTAAAAAGCTAGATAAGTCAATAAAAGTCACCATCCTGCAACTTGATCCAGTTGTGACTCCCAGACTTTTTCTTTTTTTTTTGTCTGACTCAGACTCTGTACGTACTTAAACGGATCATATACTTGAACACTATAAATACATATATAGTGGATAGGCATATGCTCACGTGGCATATCTTAATTGGGTGCTGTTATTTCTACTGCATTTACATGGGATGCTGCTATTTGTATACCTACCAGTCTCACCTCTATTAGAGATATAATCAGTAGAATGGTGAATAAATGTTATACAAATAATGTTATTGATATTAATTTAGTATCGATTAATCAATTCAATCAATACAACCATCAATTCAATAATTTTATTAATTATAAATAAATAAAAACTTTATTAATTATAATGTAATGCATGAGATAGAATTCTCAACTAACCAGCATAAAGCCCTTGATGAGTTGGTCAGTATAATAGTCAGGCTGTGAGTCCTGCAGAGAAAGCAAATGGTCGATCATAGTTCCATTTTTACCCTTACTCCTTTGCTCATCAATCAGACCTTGCAAAAACGAATCCGTCCTCTTAGCCAACTTCATCACCCTCTTCTCGTAAGCATGATGAGTTGGTCAGTATAATAGTCAGGCTGTGAGTCCTGCAGAGAAAGCAAATGGTCGATCATAGTTCCATTTTTACCCTTACTCCTTTGCTCATCAATCAGTCCTTGCAAAAACGAATCCGTCCTCTTAGCCAACTTCATCACCCTCTTCTCATAAGCATTGCTCCCAATCCAATTCAAAATGGGCAAGAAATCTGCTGGGTTCACTGCCCCACTATGAGCAAAAACCTCCTTCATAATCTGCCTGAACTGCTTGGCCTCTTCCTTGTCCACCGACACGTCATCCCCATAGTACCTCTTCCCCGCCACCATTGTCATTATGATGTTAAAGGTTAGCTCAGTGAACATAGACTTCAACTCCACCCTCTCAAACTCATGCACCGAGTTTTGTACAAGTTTTCATATGAGGTGTTTCACTTCATCTTTTCGTGTGTTTGCAAATGTGTTGAGTCGAGCGGAGGAGAAGATCTCGATGGCGCCGATGCGGCGGAGGTTGCGCCAGTGGTCGCCGTATGGAGAGGTTGAGATGGTCGTGCTGTTGTAGCCTATGTGCTTGAATAGGAGCAGTGAAGGACGGTTTGCCAAAACGATGTCGTTTCTTGTGAAACACTCTTGGACAGCGGACGGGGATGAGACTATGACCACGCGCTGCGAACCGAACCAGAGAGAGAAAATAGGGCCGTGTTTTTGGGAGAGGCGGTGGAAGGTTCGGTGGACCGGGGCTTTTAGGAGATGGAGATGGCCTAGGATGGGGAGAGAAAAAGGGTTTGGTGGGAGGTTTGTGTAATGTCGTCGTTTTGTTTTAAGAAAGAACTGGAAAGTGAAGATTATGAGGAAGGTAAGAGAGAGGGACGTTGTGTAGAAGAAGATGCCTTGTTCCATGGTTTGTTTTGGCCTAAGTTTGATTTTGAGCAGTGGAGGTGGTATTTATTTATAAAGAAGAGGGTGCATGAAGGAAATATCTATTTAGATATTTTATTGTTTAAGAGAAGCATATGCATGTATGCATCTTGTGTGTTTTCTTCATGTTAGGCAGCTTTAAGCTTGTGCCCCCTGATATTAAACTCTACCTCTGTCACTGATGTTAGGTATGCACGTTTGATATGACAATATATGTATCTTAATTTTGCTCTTTATGATGTTAATAGGGTTTAGTTCAGTAAAAACGAATATTGATTTACAAATTACGAATTTTATATTTGAATCTGCACGACACTTTATTAATGTGTTTGAGAAACCTCATTCTTCTCTAATTTAAACTAACGCTTGTTGCAATATGTTTTTACTATTGATGGAAGTG